TACAATGATGGTCTTAGTCATCTCAAAGAGACAACTCAGCCTTAAATGCCATGATATTAACCTTTCATTTCTTGTAAGGAGTCCTGGTATGACACTGTAGGGTAAACACTGAACTACAAGGTCGGTTCAAACTCATCAGTCGCTCCTTGGGAACCCTATACAGGCTTACTGTGAGTCGAAACCGGCTTGATGGCAATGAACAACAAGGAGGCTACAGAGACATTACTACCACAAATATGTTGTTAATAAATAACCATCGAGTCGGTTTTGACCATAGCAAACCTGTATAAGGTTTCCCAGGAGTGGCAGGTAAACTTGGACTGCCAACCTTGCAGTTCCAATTGCTGTTGAAGTCCAGCTCATTAACCCACAACTCCATGGCATGGCAAGTGTGCACCCTCTTAAAAGTATCATTATGCTGTTGGGTGGTAATTGTTCCCCTCCAACCTAAGCCATCTGTCATTTTGTTCATGCTGGTGGTGTATACTGTAATATACACCATGAAAACTCCCACATGAAAAATCTGACCAGGTTCAGTGTGGGCTTTTGAGATACTCCTATGCATTTGTACCTTTGATCTGATGAGGGCGTGATGTGAACAACTCCTTGTCGGTTGTGAGCGGTTCTTTGCTGCTAATAGTGGCTAAAGTGTGAAAACTAGCTAATGAGAAGTCGGAGGGGACTCAAGGGTGTCTCCAGGAGAATGCTAATCTCATTCTTATAAATCTTGATATGATTTATGATTAGATAAAAATAAATGAAGCTGCAGGTACCCCACAGTGAGTCCCCATAAACATGGTCATAGTTTCCTATTGTTGGCACTAATGAAAACTTCCACAAATCCATGATGATAAAGAACAAAAACTGATGGTCTGACAGCAGTTTGGGAAGTATAACTCCAAATCAAGGCATCAAGGTCCCTTCCAGACATCCAGGACCACAAACAAGAGGAGGCTCTGTCTTGTCGCTCTGGATATTGCTTGGCCTTCCTTGGTTTGTAGATGGTTCTTCACTTGGTCGCTCTCCCCTGTATGTGTCTCTGTCTAATCTCCTTGTTTATAAAAGCCCACACAGTAAAGATTAGGTTTAGGACCCCCTCCTGCTCCCTGTGTGGCCTCATTAATGGACCAGAGGAAAAGTCCTGTTACCTAGTCGGACGGAGCCTAATAGCAAGTATATATGGGAAGACTTCAGCACAACTTCTCAGAGGACAAAACGCACTTAGAGCCACTGCGGGGGAGTTTTATAAATACTGATGCCTGATTGCCATGCCCAACCATTCTGACTTATTCATTCTGGTGTGAAGACTGGACAGAAGACCTTTCAAAAGCTTGTCAGATGGTCCTCATGTGAAGACAAAGGTGTCTGCTGCTATCTCCCTGTCTCCTCCCAATTGATGGTAGTTGGTGGTGGTCATGTGCTGTGGAGTTGGTTCCAACTCACAGCGACCTTCCATTGGGTTTCCGAGGGGCAACGGGGTGAGTTTGAACTGCTCACCCTGTGGTTCACAGCCCAGTGCTGATCCTGAAGCACCATACCAGGAGTTCTAATTTAACCATAGAATTTTATAACGGTGGTGGTGATAGTATACCAAAAAGTCTTCTTAGGCTCTGCATAGGATTTTTTAAGGCTGTAAATCTTTACAGTAGCAGAAAGCTTCATCTTTCTGCTGCAAAACAGCTGATCGTTCCAAACTGCTGATGTTGAGGTTAACAGCCTGACTTACAACCACTACGCTACCAAACCCAGCCTTGGTTGGTGTACTGGGGGCAACAGTCAGGTCTACAGCTGAGAGACTGAACAGATACTACAGTGAGCTCAGCTTCCTAGTCTGCTTAATATCAGCTCTTTTATTCAGAACATAGCCTAACTTGACTATCACATTACTATAGTCAGATCTTTTCAACATCAGGCAATGAAGGAAACTTTCCAAGGAAGTACACAAAAGTATTTTGAAAGTGATCCTTGATGACTGATTGCTGATATTAAAACTGAAGAGCTTCATGTTAGGGGATTTTTCATCTCTGATTTGTTCATTAGCATAATTTTATGTGACTATCAACTCTTTGCAAATATTTAGCATAGGGATAGGTGTGTACTGTACATACCTTTTGGTTAGCTAAAGAATATGATGTCAGGTTTAAATCACACTAAAAGTAGACAATTCAACTGCATAATAGCTCCCTATTTTGTAAAAATTAAATGTTCTCACCCTCAAAGAATATGTACAGTAATGTTTGTAACCTTTACCATGTGACTCGAATATAAGGAGACCCTTCTTTTGTTGCTCCATTATGTTCAATCGTATATGTCAGTGAGATGAAAGAATTCTAAAGAAGGAAATGACTCTTGGAATTTCTCTGACTCCACCTTATTCCTTTACAGATAAATAGATTGTAGTCTTTGATAGCAGAAATGATGAGTCTCTTATTCATAAATGGTGGAACGAGAAGTAGATCTGATGCCCAATAGCTTTCTACAGTGTCACTGGATTTCCACGAGTTCTCCTCTCCCTTTCTGTGAAGCATCCATCCTACCATTTGTACTTGTCCAAGAGTTTTTGTCCCAATGTGGTACATATTGTCATGTCCTAGATGCTGATGCCTTAATGCTATGGTATCTTTGATTGTGATACTATATATATGTATATGGAGAGAGAGAGATGTTCTGAGTTAGAATGTAACAAATCACTACAGGTTTGCTTGGATGTCTCGGTAACTAGCTTCCGAAGTAATACCCCCAGATCATATGCCACTGCATGCAAAAGTAAATATGTTTTTCGCATTTTTTGGTTGATTATTATGGTCTTCTGCTGTTTTACTAATACTTTTCCCATCTTCAACTGGCTTTACTTTTTGCAGCTTTGAGCAGTAATTCAGTCCCCTACGCCTCCCTGATTGGCTCTGTGTCCTCCCTCTCTAGCCAAACCACCACTCAGTCCATATATGATAATAACTCTCTCCCACGATTCGCTCGAAAAGGTCTAAACATCTTTGTCTCTATTATTTTCTCTGTTGAAGCACTGTAATGAATGTCCACCTCAGTCCATTTCCATTCCTCCACAAACCTAGACCCTCATGCCTTTGCATTTCTGTTCTGTACACTGGGGGTGCCTCATCTGGACACAGTCACTTGAATGTCCCTATCATTGTCACCCACCCACTCCTGCCACAGAATGCAAACTACTTCACTTCGACCAACTATGTGGAGAAGTTCCAGAAATGAACTCCAATTTGTTTTTGTTTTTTTTCCAAATGCACAATTATAAATAACCACAAAGGTTTTCTGCTTCCCAGTCCCCTTCTTTTTATTGGCTCTTAATAAAATTTAGTAAGATTTTAATTGACTGGATGCAAACCTCTTAGTCAATAAGACTAAAGCATCCCTGTTCACATGTTGAGCTGCAGTGATAATCTGGAAGAAACAAAGTGTTTTCTTCTTTACTCTCCGGAGCCATGGAGAATTTGGCATTGGAGATACAGGGGATTTCTAGGTGACTTTCACTAAGGGTACATGGCCATGTTGACTTAGTGGGCAGTGAGTCCACAGCCCAACACCTTCCAGAGAGGCACAGGAACAGATGAATGTAAACATGACTTCCAGTTTGAGCCCCTCCCTCATTCTCTGCTTTCTCCGTTCTGTATGTCACATGTTTCTCTGGGGGTTTCCTACTTCAGATTTTTCTAGCCAGCTGGACTTTGTGTCTACAAGACATGAGTCATCACTCCTCGCTCATGGAATGCTGATCATATCAATCCAAAAGAAATAAAGTATGAATTGTATAAGGGAGCAAAGATGGGCAAGACACAGGAATCACCCTCAGCCCCCCCAAAAATGAGCTGTTGATTACTTTTTAATGGAGTCTATGAATCTAATACATCTTCAGCTGGCAGACTGAGCTAAGATGCGCCCCGATGCCCTTATCACTGCTTCTTTATGTTTCCACCCATTTTCCTCCATCTCCTTCCACCATGTGTCCTTCCTCGGCATTCATTTTCCATCAGTGGACAAAGATGTTTACACCTGAAGTAGATTGTAGGTTTGCTGGGGGTTGAATCATGGGGACCTGAGGCCAAATACCACCAAGTTGCCAGTGTGGCCATTTCTCGATGTCTAGCCAAAGGCCAGCACCTAAACCTCTACAATCTGCTACTAGTGGAAACATTTTTGAAACTTAGTTTGGTGTCTGATTTTTGTCGTCGGTGATTGTTGTTGATGCGCCATGGTGCATGTTCTTGTTTGTGTCCATGGTTGCATGTGAGTGTTGGTCACCCCAGGTCTGGTGGAATAGTAAAGCGATCTTAATGTGTAGTGAATCTTGCAACGTCTTACAATGTATTTATTAGCCCTTAATAAAAATGTCTATTAGGCTATCCATTTCATCTTTAGTTTTGTTTTTTAATAATCCTTTCCATTTTATTTTATTTACACCACCATTTCCTTTGCAGGTTCAGATGATTCCGGTTACCCTGGTAACCTTCATTCTTCAAGTTAGTTTTCCTTAATTACCCATAAGTCACCTTTTGTTTCCGATCAAACTACTACTACTTTTTCCCTTTCAGGCCTTTTTCACTGTCTGTTTTCTTAGTTCACTTTACATCATTTAATTCCACACAATTTCCATTTCACACAGAGCAGGAGAAGGAGTTTGAAAGACTTAACAGACATTACTCAAAGCAGAAATTGACATCAAGCTTGGCAGTTTGCTCCACTAGCTAACCTCATTGATTCATAGCAAAGTAATGCTTTTTTTACACTAGGAGTGTTAGTTTGGGGATTATGCTCGGGTGACTTTTCATTTGGCTAGAAAACTCATCTTCCCAGAGCATGCCCTGCTTTGAGTAACCAAACTATCTGCCTGCTTCCTCATATAAAACATCCTGACTTCTCATATGTTTACAGCCATATCTAACTATAGTGTTCTCTTTATTTTGGAAGAGTTAAGAATTAGCCTCCTTTTCGTGTGTTTTCAAAATGTGTTTCATCTCTCCTTTTACTAGGTATGGCTAGCCATCCTCCAATACCTATCTTGGAACTTGCAGATCACATTGAAAGGTTGAAAGCCAACGACAACTTGAAGTTTTCCCAGGAATATGAGGTAATTGTCACGTGCTTGGAGGATAATATCAAAAGTTTCCCTCCACTTTTTGTTGACTGTATTCTTGAAAATTAACATGATGACCAGTGCATTTTTTCTTTAAATGCGTCATGAAATCTGATACATAAAAATCTTGCTAGATAGCCAACTTAAAAGTGTCTATACAATCAATAGAGTAATTGAGTTTTATAGAAAGTTGTTGATTCATTTATATTTGTTCAATGCTACTTAATGAGATTGGTGTATTCTTTCTGGTTTTAAGTTCATGGTATTTACAGAGTTTATAAGATTATAGTATACTAGATTGGTGCCGTGTACTGATTCACAAGTGAGGATCCTTTTTTGAAATAGAGAGATGTCAGGACAGAAGTAGATTCATCACTACATAAAATGTTTTTTAAAAGGTACCATGTGTCAGGTTTGCATGACCTGAAAACTCCTAGTATTTACACATGTATATGATTTTGCTCTTAAATCTAAAAAAAATGCTTGCGCTAATATTAGGATAGTATTATATTCCCAAGGGACTCCTGGTAACACATTGGTTAATAATTTGGCTGGTAACCAGAAGGTCGGTGGTTCGAGTCCACCAACTGCTGCCCCAAGGAAGAAAGTCTTGGCAGTCTCATGCCATAAAGATGACAGCCTGGGAAACCCTAGGGGGCATTTCTACAGTCTCATAGGGTCTTAAACTGCCAGAATCATTAAAGAAGATCTGTGTGAATTCTTGACGATGAATAATAAGTCTGTATATATGAGTTTGAATAGTGTGTCATTCATCCAACGTAAAGTTGTGAAACTGAATATTTCTGATATTCCCTAAACAGGGATCCATCGGCAAGCCAATTCTGAGTTATTGATAGCCATATCATTATTATTCTTGTAAGCAAGTTTAAGTTGACATAAGATTACAATGTGCAGCTAAAATCTTGCATGTAGACCAAACAGCAAAAGGTGGTTGAGTTCCTGAGCAACCCAAATTCAAGGATGAAGGGTTGCTATTGTTTTATATAGCAGAACTTTCCAGACACGCCCCTTTACCTCTCATGGTCTCTGTAATGTCAACGTTAAGAAGAGGAGATTGGACTGAATGATAATCTGAGTTCAAACCTCTGCTTAGGTCTGCCCTGGGAAGTTCTTTTACAGTCACTAAGAGGAGTCCTAGTGTGGTGTTTAAGATCAGCACTGGACTGTGAACCATAAGATTGGTGGTTCAAACCCACCAGCTGCTCCTTGGAAACCCTATTTGGGGTTGCTATGAATCAGGACCCATTTGACAGCACTTAACAGCAACAATAACAGGAGGTGTGGAACTGTAGGCTAAATACTAGACTGCTAACCGTCAGGTTGGCATTCAAACACGTCAGCTGCGTCTGAGAAATCCTATATAGGATTGCTATGAGTTAGAACTGATAACTAGAGGCACATAACTAGAGGAGTCCCATACTTTGAATTTGTTATCAGGAGGGACCATTCTCTGGAGAAGAACATCATACCTGGTAAAGTAGAGGGTCAGCAGAAAAGAGGAAGACCACCAATGACATGGATTGACACAGTGACAGCTGCCGTGGCCTCAAACGTAGCAACAATTGTGAGGACGGCACAGGATCAGGCAATGTTGTGCATTGTTAAGTTCCGTCCAGTCAGATCTGACTCATAGTGACCCTGTATAGGGTTTCCGAGGAGCGACTGGTGAGCCTGGACTGCCACTCTTGTGGTTCAAACCAGTGTTGCAGTCCAGCTCAGTCACCACCAGCTCCCCACCGGGACTCCTCATAGAGACTGTCAAAGAACTTGTGCATAGTGCCACTATAAATCAGAACCTACTTTACGGCACCTCACAACAACAAGAGGAGACCCAATTTCAACTTGTTAGAGAGGTGACACGCAGGGACCTGTGACAACCTGGGTGTCTGCATGGCCTTCCTATGAATGTCAAATATTCAAATTTAGAAGACTGTAAAGTGCTATGATGGCTACTCACCTAAGAACTGTGGCCCCACGCATACGCACCCTTAGGAGATGGGCAGTCTTTTATTCAGTTGGCACCCTCCAGCATAAAGGACTCCTGGTGTGGTGTTGTAGGATCAGCTCTGGACTGCAACCCGCAAGGTCAACATTTCAAACCCACCAGCTGCTCCTCGAAAACTCGATACAGGGTTGCTATGAGTCAGACCCAACTCCGTGGCACTTAACAACGACATAAAGGAGGTTTTTGATTTTTTATTTTCTTACTGATTGGTTAAGTTATATTTTCCTTTATTCTGTTTCAAACATTCAGGAGAACATTTTGAAGTGTGGGAAATTCATGCTGGATTGTGAATTGGCTTATTTTCTGAAATGATCTGCATCTTAATTTTTTGCCTGTTCTTCCTGTTTACCATAATGGTGCTTCTTAAATTCTAGAATCTCTTTTAGCACCATTTCTACAGTTTCTAGTTTCGGGCTTGAGGTTGTAACTAACATTTTAGAAGAGCTAGCCAGGCATGTGATCAATGTCAACAGAGGCAACATAGACCCAACTCTTAGATAAGTGTCACTTTTTACCAACCAGATTTCCCGACCTGCTCCCTTTTTTGTTCTTATTGTCACAGTTCTTAATATTTGTGATGTGATACCTGCTTCATTGATCTGCTTTAAGGCTGTTTTTGTGATGATGAATGATGCAAAGAGGCACAAAAATAAAAAGTTGATAGCTCTCCTATTAATAAACGACTGATTCACACACCAAGTATACAACTTTGAACCATATTTGCATCATTCAAATAGTCACTGAATGAAAACATCTCAGTAGTAACCATGGAGTATAACAAATGGCCTCCTTAAACTCTAGAGTTTCTAAAGAAATGCTACATGAAGATTCTCTAATGATATTCATTTACCCATTAGATCAGAAGTGCTCCTTGAAAATAGTGATGAATGGCATGCTGGCGAGGTTTGCATTAAGAACTCACCCAGTACCAATGACATGATAACCCACTCTGCCTCTTTATCCCTTAGATGGTCTTGATCTGTGATTAACGCTCCCTGGGTGTGAATTGACTCTACTGTGCCTTAACAGCCATGAAAGAGCTGCTGAAGTATTTGTGTCCGTCTATTAAAGCTCCACATGATATTCTAGGCCACAGAGCAACCTTTTCATGAATGTCTACTTATACTTATTATGTTGTATATACACAGGCCTGGTACACTACTGATAAAAAAATCAACCACGAAATCCTCTGTGGGGGACACAGGGTTAATCTTAATGGTGGTAGAAGAGTCTGGAATATGTTAGTTGTAATGGTTGCACACTATGATGAGTATGCTCAATGGCATTGATTTATACACATGAGAATTGTTGAATTGCCACGTTGTGTTATATGCTTATCTTTACTATAGTGAACAAAGAAAACCCATATAGTTCTCCTCTGACGTACATGGGGTTGCCATGAGTCAGAATCAACTGAAAGGCGACCGGTTATTTTCCATGTGAACGGGCTTCAATTTTACTTGTCTTCAGAGGAGAAAATGAAGGAAAAGAAGACTTGTTACGGGCAAAACACTTAATTATATTGAAATTGTTGTTGTTAAATGCCTTTAAGTCAGTTCCAACTCATAGCAACCATATATAGGATTTCAAAGTTTGTGGGTATATTGGAATAATTACTATGAATTCATGCTTACTCTTGGAATCCTGGTGTGGTGCTATAGGATAAGCACTGAACCATAAGGTCAGTTTGAACTGCAAGGTTGGTGGTTCAAACTCACCATCTGTTCCTCAGAAATCGTTTACAGGGTTGCTATGAGTTGGAACCAATTCAATGGTACTTAATAAACAACAACAACAACAGTGTTTACTCAGATATCTCAAGATGCACAAAGTTAAATTTATCATTCTGGTCCTAAAACTTAAACAAAGGTCAAAGGCATAAAAGGTGCTTGTGTTGATCATGAGGTCAGAGTAGGAAGAAAAAGGGTCACATTGTAGCCCAGGGTTTGCAGACCATAAGAGACCCCGACTTTAAAGGAAGTTGACCACAGACATGGATTCAGTGACAAAATGAAGAAGGAACCTAAGAAATGATTGCAACTCCAGTCTCTGAAGCTCTTTATACACATTTTAGCTTCTCATCTTCTGCTGTGTGAATGAATGTAAAAGCCTACTGGAGCTTGTTGTTGTTGTTGTTAGGTGCCATCAAGTCGGTGCCGACTTATAGCGACCTTATGCACAGCAGAACGAAACACTGTCCGATCCTGGGCCAACCTCACTATTGTTGCCATGCTAAGTCTAACGATGCTGCCACTTGGCCAATCCATCTCTCTGGGGGTCTTCCTCTTTTTCTCTGACCCTCCACCTTACCAAACATGATATCCTTCTCCAGTGACTGATCCCTTCTGACAATATGTCCGAAGTATGAGAGACGAAGTTTGGCCATCTTGGCCTCCAAGGAGCACTCTGGCTGCACTTCTTCCAACATAGATCTGTTGGTTCTGTGGGCAGTCCATGGCACTTTCAATATTCTCCTCCAACACCGTAACTCAAAAGCATCAATTCTTCTACAGTCTTCCTTATTTACTGTCCAAATTTCATATGCATATGAGGTTATTAAAAATACCGTGGCTTGGGTCAGGTGTACCTTAGTCCTCAAGCTGACATCTTTGCTTTTCAGCACTTTAAAAAGGTCTTGTGCAGCAGATTTGCCTAAAGCAATATGTCATTTGATACTGGAGTTTAAGTAGTCAGAATTTGAAGATGACATCTGAATTACAGAGGATACATTTTTCCTTAATATTGGTATAATTTCTGAGCTCAATGCATTAGGCTGAGGGATCTTTGGAGTGGTTTAGAGAAGGGTGTTCAGTGTGTGTATATTGACTCCACAGCAGTTGTCATTGTGTCAGTACTGAGTCACAGTGACCCCATGTGTGTCAGAGTAGAACTGTGCTCCATAGGTTTTTCAGTGGCTGATGTTTCAGGTATAGAATGCTGGTCTTTGTTTGGAGTTGCCCAAAGATCT